GTGTTATGTATCTGTAATGAATGTCATAAGTTTTAAGTTGAAATTGTAGCATCCTGATTCGAATTGTTAGAATTTTGTAACTCTGATCTTTATACTAATTATCGAGTAGAATTGGGGTGTTACAAAGTTGGTATCAGAGCTTGCCGGTCCTTCCGGCCAAGTTGTCTAATGTTGTTTGCTCCTTAGTACGCGACAAGTGTGTGAAACATTGTTAGTACTTGTTTTCTTTTCCAATTGATTGTATGCAAGAGTTGGTTTGAAGATAACTGGTGGAGAATCTTTGCTTCTCGGATATGTTTCGGTTGTAAGATGTTAGTTCAGTATGCTGCTGATGGCGACAGTGCAAGTATTGTTAAAGTTTTGTTGTTTCCCGAATCCGAAGATGACATGGATTCAAGATTTTGTTTGTTAATCAAGTTGGAACGTCATGAGGGAGGATGACCAGACATTGTTGATGTTTACTTCTCGAAGGATAAGGAGCAATGTAACGGTTATTGATATACAAGTAGAGTGTAAATCCTCAAGGTTTCTGAAGGTGATTGTTAAGTAACAAGGATAATTTTAAGAAGACGGAATTTAAAAAGTTGTGATATCCAGCGCTGCTGGTGGATTGTAAAGTTGTCGGTTTGGGTAGCCCTTGCGTAAGTGTCAATGTTTGAACGATAATAGAGTGACAGATTGTTATAGACCTTGTCGTGGGATCCTTGTGAGTGATTGTAAAAGTTGTTGGAATGTTTTGAATTGGGATTTGGATTCTGAAATGCGAGGAGATGAGTATGTTTTCTGGAATGGTAAGTGTTGGTACTGGTTCATAGAAATTATGTTATGTTGTTATCGTAAGATGTGTAATAGTATGTCGCTGCACGACGTCGGTGTTCGCATTTTCGGATAACTTTGGAAATTCATATCTTGTGTTCCGAGTATTGGATTGGTGTTCCGTTTGAACCTATGAGGAGATAGAAATATATTGTATCATATGAAAGTGTTTTCAAATATGGTTGATACATTCCCATATGGAGGAACTCTAAAGTCATTTACGGAACTAGAGGCTTTTTGGGCATAACTGATTATTATCGCAGTTGTTCGAGATGGGGTCAAGCATAATATGTTGTTGATGATAAAGTTAAGAAATGAGATGTTTGGCATTAAAAGGATAGTCGTTCATAATTTCAAGTATGGGATGTTGCATGTGAATTAAGTTTTGTAGAACTAAAGAAAAGATTGACGACTACTCCGATATTGGTTTTCCCTAATCCGAGTGAGTCATTTGTAGTGTATTATGAATGTGTCTAAGATGGGACTTAGTGGTGTGCTTATGCAGAATGAAAAGGTAGTTGCTTATGTGACAAGGCAGTTGAGGACTCATGAGAAGAACTATCCTACGCATGATTTTGAGCTTGTTGCAGTTGTTTTCTTGTTGAAGGTTTGGAGGCATTATCTTTATGGTTCTACATTTGAAGTATTTAGTGACCATAAGAGTTTAAAGTATTTATTTGATCAGAAGGAATTGAATATGAGACAACGAAGATGGTTGGAGTTGTTAAAGGATTATGATTAAGATTTGAATTATCATCCAGGAAAAGCAAATGTGGTAGCTTATGCGTTAAGTCGAAAGACTTTACATATGTCAGCAATGATGGTTAAAGAGTTGGAATTAATTGAGCAGTTCAGAGATATTAGCTTAGTTTGCGAAGTGACACCGTAGAGGTTATGTTGGGGATGTTGAAGATTAACAATGATTTTCTGGACAGTATCATAGAAGCTCAGAAGTTAGATGTGAAATTGGTAGATTCGGTGGTTGGATTCGTTTAGTATGAGAATGATGATTTCAAGTTAATTATGCAGGGTATGTTAGGATTCCATAATCGAATTTGTATTCCTGATGATGCGGAGATGAAGAAAGTAATTCTTGAGTTGGAGGATACTTAACCTTCGTGTGAGGCTAAGTGAGTGTAATATGGACCGTGTAATATGATGAGCGGTGGTGTCTCATCTACAAAATCGAATGAAAGGGAAATTATGGGAGTATTTGTAAACCTCATTGGAAATTATTGAATTATTGTGCTTTAGGTGACTTGAGTACATGTTCTAAACAAATACTATTATAGTTTGTAACGATGGTTTATACTCCATTATGGTTGTCGGCTATCTATTGACAAATTGAGGAACTAATCACCCTTAATCTCTTATTTGTAGTAGACGAGATTGTGTTGGATGGTATAGATTTGTCTTTCTATCTTAATGGTGTGTAAAGTTATTGATGTATATCGTGAGAATAGTCTCTCACCAATTTGTGTGAATTAATAGAGGAGCGGCTAGGAAAGAATTGAGACGTATTGAACAAGTCGGTGTAGCGGGTTATATGCGAACTAACATTGCAAAGTGAAGGATTAAGAATATCAAGTGAACAACGATTTTATAATGGATGTTAAAGAAAGTCCAAAACTATATTGAAACTTATAAATCATATAGTTGACAAAAATTTTAATAGGGACGGTGACTTAAGATGGATGATCAGAGTTATGCAGCTGAAGCGTGATGTGGCGCAGTTGATATGTGTGTACGACTCGTTAGAAGAGAAGGACTACATATCAGGAGCCTATGGGAATGATATGTCCTAATCTACATGTTTGAATTAAAGGATTATTGATATGAGATGATGTGCTAAAGTATTGTGTTTCTCGTAAACATTTGATGATTTTATAAATATATTAATGTGTTTGTTGGTTGATGGTGAGTTTTGTGTATAATTGTTGAGTTATACTGTTAAGTTGATGTTATAATGATTTTGTTCCCGTTGCCGTGATATTGTTGTTGGTTACTGTAAAGGATTAATAATACTCCATAATATGACAAAGTTGATTATGTTGGCTATGTTGATGTCACTATAAGGGTGATACGACAATATGAATAGAGTTGTTGATAATTGATATATATATATATATATATATATATATATATATATATATATATATATATATATATATATATATATATGGGAATGAAATTGTGTATGTGTTTTGGTGTTGAAGATGTTGTTAAGATGATAATGTGATGTTGTATATCCAAGTATAAGTGTGTTGCTACTTTAAATATTGATATGGAAAGATATTGTTAAAGTGGTTGATAAGTTGTTAACGATTATGTCGCAGAGATGTTGAATGATTAGCATATGTGTATTTGCTTTAAATCGTGTTGAGTTATTGTTGTGTTGAGAAGTAGTAGTCAAAGTGTTAACAGACGCGACATGGGGATCAGAGAATGAGATGTAAAATTCGCATTAAGAGTGGTAGTATCAGGTAGATTTTCGAGGACGAAAATATTCTAAGTGGGGGAGAGTTGTAATGCCTGTTAATTTAATTAATTATTTAATTAAAATATTTTTGGATTATTTGTTGAATTTGTGGGATGTTCTGGATTATTGGTATAAGTTGTTAGATTATTAATTAATTAATTAGTTGATTAATAATAATAATGTTAGAATTATTATTATTATTAGTCGTTGGGCTTATTTTGGTGGTATGTAGTATTAAGGGGGTGTAAGAATTAGGCCCAATAGCAATACTAATATTATTGATTTTAGTTATAAAATAGAAAAATAAGTTTCTGTCAAGAAGAAGAAGAATAAGGGTTGGAAGAGGGAAAAATAACGTAGAAGTTACAGAGAAGAGGAAAAGAGGCAAAGCAGAATTCGATCGGAAAATTGTAGAGCAACCTTTAATCCAAGGTAAGGGTAGGGTTCTCACTCTATAATTGGGTATATAATGCATGTTACGTGGGAATTGGGTTGTGTGAAATTGTTAGTGTATGTGATGGTTGTATGAATAAATTGTTGTTTGACATCTGTGATAATTGTGATAACATTGCAGCGATTCGATCAATGAATTGAGTGTTGGAATTTGTTATGTATTGATGTGGGTACAATTATTATATTTTTTTGAATAGTTGTTATGTTGGTCTGAGATCATGGGAATGGAAAGAATCACTGATCGCAAGAAATTTGAAACAAAGTTGCAGAATTGCAAATGCAATTATGGACATGTGCCGAGCGGCACATGTGTTGATAAAGGGTGCCGACCGACACCATGATTTTGTGCCGAGGGGCACGGTTTGCATGTCGAGGGCCATGGATTCCAATTACAACATCTCCTTTAGGTGTTTTGCTGTGTTTATTCTGGGTGTCTGTTGCCTTAGCATGTTATTGTAGGAATGTATGTAGCAGGCTTAGAAAAAGGATGAATAACATTAGAGGTTATTTATTAACAACAGAAGTGATAAATTGATGAATTAGCATAAGTATAGAAGGTAATATTAATGAGTAACAGAGTTAGTAAATGTTAGCAGGAAAATAATAGTTTCACTAATTTAGAAGAAAACTATTAATGAGGCTTATGATAGAATACTTTAGTAAAAGTATGTTACTAAGATCGTGTTAATAATATTATTGGCATGTGTAAGTTGTTGTGTTATTGTTATTGATTGTTGAAGTTGCAGGTAGTGGTGAGTTATGTTGTATTGCATCTATAATTGGAAATTATTTAGTTGTAGGCTTATGTCCAATGTTGAATTAAGTTGAATTATTAACACTACTAAAAAAAAGACATTTAAGAAAAGGTTTTTACATCGGGTATCAAAATAGGTGATGTAAAAAATACAGTTAACAAACTTTTTACATCAGGTATTTATTTCCAATGATATAAAAAATAAGTGAAAAAAATTTTTTCGTCACCTATTACATCGGGTAATCTCATCCACCGATGTAAAAGATTTCCAGAAAAAAAACACGGTGGCATTTTTGTAAATAAGAAACAAGGTGACAAAAAAGTTAAAAAAAATATAAGAAAGCTATTACATCGGTCTAAAGACAAACCGATGTAAAAAATGATTCTTTGAATTAATATATAAATTATATTGAAAATTAATAAAAACGTGAAAAAAAAAAAAGACCTATTATTTCGGTGGAAGTTTCCACCGATGTAAAAGCCTTCCCCTTATATCGGTCAAATATTCCACCGATGTAAAAAGTTATAAACAGAATTTTCTTTTATTCCAGAAAACTGTTCATTTGCCATTTTCCGACCCATTTTCGCCGACCGCCGCTTCATCCCTCCCATTTTCGCCGACCCATTTTCGACTGTCACGACCCGTTCTTCGACGATTTTCCTCCGCCTACTGTCACGAATGGTAAAATACATACACAAGCATGAATTTAGGAGCGAAACGAAACCGTAATCGTATTTTGTGCTGCTACTCAACAAACCCCCGCTCTCCTTAAGATCCACTCTTTCCCTCGCCGATAACCGTCGCCGTCGTTCCATCATTCCTCGCCGTCCTTTTCCTCTCTTTCCATTCTTCAATTTCATTTTCACATTCCTTTTTCACATCGCATGCCCTAGAATTATTTCTCATTTCGAAACCGCTCTTGAATTGGATTATCCATTTTTCTTCTCACCATTCACAATTTGTTGCCGAAGTTAATTCATGATAGATGGGAACACGGCCGCAGCAATCGCGTGTAGATGAAGAGGACGATGAACTGCTCGGTTGTGGAACGACGATTTCCGGCCAATCAGGCTCCACAAGCCGGAGTGCTGGGTTGGGGACCACCGCTGGTGATAGCGCTGCTCTCAAATTGAATCACCTTGACATACACGACGATGATGCTGCATCACAGGGAGTAGTTGCGTGAGTCTTCTCTAATCTTTGCACTTTCTAGATTCAATGTATTATGTAATGCATGTGTTGGTGATTTTCTGTGTACTTGCTGTTCTTCAAGTGAATTTTTTTATTCGTTACTGTTAGTTTAAATTGATTCTCAGCTACTCGTTGTTTAAGCAGAAGCAAGAAGAAAAAGAGAGGCCAACGAGCTGTTGGGGGTGATAAGAGTGGAAGAGGGCTTCGCCAATTTAGTATGAAAGGTTTATGATCTGTCTTATTTGACCATTTTGTTCTTTAATGTATTGTTTCATTAATTTTACTTTATCCTTGCAAAGTTGAATTTTGGAGGCTAATTTGAACTTGTGACATGCTTGCTTGTAAGAGTTTATGAAAATACCTTATTAAATATCATAAGCACTTCACAATAGCTTATAGAAGCAACTTATGTCAAGCATATGCAGAGTTTATGTTAATTTTATCTTCAATTGTAGAAAATAAGCTCTTTGGATGACAAACACTTAGGCTATGTTTAGGAGTTTGGAGGGGAAGGGGAAGGGAGGGCTTCCAAAAATAATTTTTTTTAAAAATATAAAGAAATTTTAAATATTTTTTGAAAAAAAGATTTTGTTTAGAATGATAAAATAATGTTTGTCATTAATGTATTCTGCAGTGTGTGATAAAAAGATTTTAAATTTTAAATATTTTCTGCAGTGTGTGAGAAGGTAGAAAGTAGAGGAAGAACAACTTACAATGAGGTTAGGACTTTACTTAAACCATTTTTTTTTAACTTTAAAAGCATAGTTCTTAATCATGGATAGCAAAGCGGAGTACCCGACTCAAAAAATGCTATACTAGGATGACCGCTATGCTAAAATATAATTCTTTTAAACAAATTAAATAAATGATTCTATAACTATAAGTACATACATGTTGGAAAGTTAAACTAATTACTAAGGGTTAATGTATTGTATACTATAGAATAAAATTGGTACTTACAATTAGTTTTTTAAATATTTCTGTCAATAATTATGCTTGATTTTTTTGGGGGATAAAACTGCTTGTGGTAATTATTGGCCTCAGGAACTTGTTGTGGACTTTGAAGCCTGTCTCCCCCTCACAACATGTTTTACCATTTATCTATATTATCTATCTCTTTTTATACTATTTATTATCCTTATTTTTGTTTCTTTTTTTTGTAATTTTTTAATATTATAGGTGGCAGATGAGCTTGTGGCTGAGTTTTCTGATCCAAGCAATAGTGTCTTGACCCCTGATCAGGTTTTCTCACTAACGATTTTAAAATTATTTGCTTTTTACATTTTAAAGGTGTAAGATAAGTATCGTCGGCTTATTTTTTTGGGGGAATGAAAATTTGTCAGCAACAATATGATGAGAAAAACATCCGTCGAAGGGTCTATGATGCTCTGAATGTTCTCATGGCTATGGATATTATTTCCAAGGATAAAAAGGAAATACAATGGAAAGGTCTTCCTCGTACCAGTCAGAGTGATATTGAAGAACTAAAGGTTGGCCCACAGTCTTGAGCTGTAACTTTTTTGCTCTGGCTTATATGCTTTAACTGCAGTGATGTTCTAAGCTAATCCTAAAATACAATGAAGGATTATTTTAACTCATTAATTTGATTAAATAGACAGAGCGTCTTGGGCGCAGGAATAGAATTGAAAGGAAAACAGCCTATCTGAAGGAGCTTGAGGAGCAAGTAAGTCCAGCCTACTCTAATACATTCAATAAGGGAATGCGATCTTGGACCTGGATTGGTGCTTTTGAAATATGCACTTGATTATAAGAAGATTCTAGCAAATTATGTCGTTTTTGTATTGTTCAGTTTCTGTTTGCTAACTGCTTCTATTATTATATCAAGTTTGTAGGTCTTCAGAAACTTATCCAACGAAATGAGCAAATATGTAGCTCAGGAAATCCTCCCAGTGGAGGTGTATCGTTACCTTTTATTCTCGTACAGGTATACCTTCATCTCAATATCTTCCATTTTGGTCATTTGTCTAGTAAAAAATATTGTTCAATTATGCTTTGGATCTTCAATTGTTTGATAATTATATTACATTGATATCAACCCACTACTGAGCATGTTAAATGAACTTAAGTAGCTGGCTTGAATTTTTATTTATAAATTTTTTAGTTATAAGATATTATTATGAGATTAGATCTTATCTAGCTGGTTAGTGAGTTCACAAGAAATTCTTTTTACTATTTTTTGGGCATTCATTTGATCTTATCGTTCTCATTGTTTTGTTCGGCTTACTCTGGTTGCCTATGCTCTATTGGTGTATGTTATGGGTTTGTGTGGGGAATTCTTGGCCATAGATCTCAGAAAGTCGCTAGCTTATTTTATGAAGAATTTTCTCATCCTGCTGGCTGCGGTTATGTGACTCCTAATGGTATTGCTATTTGATTAATCTCATATTTCTAAAATCTGTAGACACGTCCTCATGCAACTGTTGAAGTGGAAATATCAGAAGACATGCAGCTTGTTCATTTTGATTTCAACAGGTAAAGCTTAACCTGCCTTACTTGGCATTCTTTATGAGTCATGAGTCATGAGTTATGACATGATTAGCTTTAAGTCTTTCGACTGTCACGACCCGTTCTTCGACGATTTTCATTGGCGAGTATATTTAGTTATGTGATGTTTATATCTTTCTGTATTAGTTCTTTTGGGATTCATCAAATGGCAAATGGAAATAGAAAAAAGGCTACATGGCTTCATCCCAATGTAAGTGTGATGTAAATTATAATTCTATAGTTAAATATATACGATAAATATTCACTAATTATGTCATTCAATTGTAGACAAGGCAACAACATAACTCTAATGATTGTGGATACTATGTGATGAAAAATATGTTGGATATTGTCTCTGCTAATATAACCGAGAATTGGATGTAGGTACTAAAAATAACTTTACTTTGTTCTTTACTTTTTGTTTTTCGACTTAATATGAATTTTTAAAAAATAACTCTATATTGTTATATTTATGTATTATAGGTATTTGATGACCCAACAGAATTAACACCAGATGATTTGTATGATTTGCGACTTCGTTGGGCAAAATGTTTCTTTGACTTACATGGAACTTAAGTTTAGCTGGTGAGTTTTATAGAATTGTATAAGTTGTGGTTTTTGCACAATACATGTGGTTTTTGCTCATGTGTTGAGTTTCTTGATTTTTTTGCTGATGTTAATTGTTATTATTTATTGTCAGGCAATATGATTTTGGTGTTGTCTACCGAAGATTTTATATTGGTAATTCAAGTTTGGAAACTTAGAAATAGTTGAATATTTTAGTATATGTATATTTTGTGAATATTATGTAATTGTAAGTTTTGAAAAAGACTTATAAATAGTTGAATATTGTTTTATATTTTGTTAAGAATTTGTAATTGTAAGTTTGTATGTTGTAATACAATACAAGTTTGCAATACAAGTTTGTAATTGTAAGTTTGTTCAATTTGTAAGTTTGTTGTGAAAAATATGAAAACATCGTCCTAAATGTGATGTTGGAAAGCTATGAAATCTATATAGCGACATAAATATAGTCTGTTTGATATTGGAAAAATATGAAAAAATGGGTACAAATTATATTTGTATAGGGAAACCCAGAAAATAAATAATCTATTCCAAAAAAATTTCATACATTTTACATCGGTTATTAGTAAAACTGATGTAAAAACTTTCAATAAGGGACTTTTTACATCGGTTGGAAGTAATACCCGATGTAAAAAGTCGCGTCACTGGGGACTTTTTACATCGGGTATTACTTCCAACCGATGTAAAAAACTGGATCAATTTTTAAAAAAAATGTGCATAATAATTGTTTTTTACATCGGTTCATATATTATAACCGATGTAAAAAGGGTACTTTTTACATCGGGTATTACTTCCAACCAATGTAAAAAACTGGATCAATTTTTTAAAAAATGTGCATAATAACAGGTTATTACATCGGTTCTGATATTATAACCGATGTAAAAAAGGGACTTTTTACATCGGTCCCAGAACCGATGTAAAAAGTCCCTGATTTACTATATCACCTGACTTTACATCGGATCCAAAACCGATGTAAAAAGTCAATTTTACCCGATGTAAAAAGTCATTTCTGCACTAGTGTAAGTTATAGGCTAATGGGCAGTGTTGAATTAAGTTGAATTATTAAGTTGTAGGCTTATTGCCAATGTTGAATTAAGTTGAATTATTAAGTTGTAGGCTTATGGCCAATGTTGAATTAAGTTAAATTATTAAGTTGTAGGCTTATGGCCAATGTTGAATTAAGTTGAATTATTAAGTTGTAGGCTTATGGCGAATGTTGAATTAAGTCGAATTATTAAGTTGTAGGCCTATGGCTAGTGTTGAATTATTATTAAGTTGTTGTTGAATTGTTGTTAAGTTGTAGTTGAATTGTTGTTGTGTTGTTGTTGAATTGTTGTTAAGTTGTAGTTGAATGTTGTTGTTGTGTTGTTGTTGAATGGTTGATGTTGTAGTTGTTGTTGTTGCATGTATAACATAACAAGTTGGCCTGGATTTGCAAAACGTTGGAGTTGAAGGCTTATGCCTTGTTGATGCCTCTATTAATTGTGAATTTTTAAGTTGGGAGTTATGCTACTTTTCTAAGTTGGGAGTTCTGCTCCATTTTTAAGTTAGGAGTTTTTCTCTGTTGCTACCACATGCATGTGCATAGTAACAAGTTTCATTTCACGTTACATATTGAGTTGTTATGTTGGTAAATTATTTATTATGTTTCATTGATGTTTTCGTTGTGATTGATGTTGTTTAAAGTTATAAAGTGGTGATTTGGCATAGACTAATTCTAATGTAATATTACCATACATCTGATTATATTGTTTGATATCTCACCCCTTCTGTTTGAATGTTACCCAGTTGTTGGTAACGTGCAGGTAATCCAGAGTGAAGGCGGTTTACCTTTAGTAGTTCGAGTCGGTGTCATTGCTCTGATACGTAACACTCGGGGGGATGAACGCTTAATGCTTTGTTATTGATTTTAGTTCAGGTGCTGAATTTTATGTTGGTTTTGTTGAGTACTCGTTGTTTTAAAATTGTTTTAAGTTGGACAAAGATGATATATTCTTTTAAGTTGAACATTTGATTCTGATGCGTAGTTATGAAAGTTGTTGATTTCAAAAGATTAAATTATGTTGTTGTTGGTTCATTCCAGTTTAATGTGTTATGTATTTGTAATGAACGTCGTAGGTTTTAAGTTGAAATTATAGCATCCTGATTCGAATTGTCGGAATTTTGTAACTCTGATCTTTATATTAATTGTCGGGTAGAATTGGGGTGTTACAAAGTTGGTATCAAAGAAAGTTGATCCTTCAGGCCAAGTTGTTTAATGTTGTTTGTTCCTTAGTACGCGACAAGTGTGTGAAACACTGTCAGTACTTGTTTGCATTTTTAATTGATTATATGCAAGAGTTGGTTTGACGATAAGTGAGGGAGAAGCTTTGCTTCTTGGATATGTTTCCGTTGTAAGATGTTAGTTCAGTATGCTGTTGATGGAGACAGTGTAAGTATTGTTGAAGTTTTGTTGTTTCCCAAATCCGAAGATGATATGGATTCAAGATTTTGTTTGTTAATCAAGTTAGAACGTCTTGAAGGAGGATGACCAGACATTGTTGATGTTTACTTATCGAAGGATGAGGAGTAATGTAACGGTTGTTGATATACGAGTAGAGTGTAAATCCCTGATGTTTCTGAAGGTGATTGTTAAGTAACAAGGATAATTTTGAGAAGATGGAATTTATAAAGTTGCAATGTGCAACCCTGCTGGTGGATTGTGACGTTGACGGTTCGGGTAGCCCTTGCATAAGATGTCAACGTTTAAATGGTGATAGAGTGACAAATTGTTATAGACCTTGTCGTGAGATCCTTGTGAGTGATTGTAAAAGTTATTGAAGTTGTTGGAATGTTTTGAATCGCGAGTCAGAGTCAGAAATGCGAGGAGATGAGTACGATTTCAGGAATGGTAAGTGTTGGCACTGGTACACAGAAATTCTGTTATGATGTTATCATAAGATGTGTAATAGTATGTCGCTGCATAATGTCGGTGTTCGCATTTTCGGATAACTTTGGAAATTCACATCTTGTGTTCTGAGTATTGGGTTGGCGTTCTGTTTCAAACTATGAGGAGATAGAAATATATTCTATCATATGAAATTGTTTTCAAAAATGGTTGATGCATTCCCATATGGAGGAACTCTGAAGTCGTTTACGGAACTAGAGGCTTTTTGGGCATAAATGATTATTATGCACTTGTTCGAGACGAGGTCAAGCATAATATGTTGTTGACGATTAAGTTGAGAAATGAGATGTTCGGCATGAAAAAGGATAGTCGTTAATCATTTCAAGTATGGGATGTTGCATGTGAAGAAAATTTTGTTGAACTAAAGAAAAGATTGACGATTGCTCCGGTATTGGTTTAGCGTAATCTGAGTGAGTCATTTGTAGTGTATTATGAATGTGTCTAAGATGGGACTTAGTGGTGTGCTTATGCAAAATGAAAAGGTAGTTTCTTATGCGTCAAGGCAGTTGAGGACTCATGAGAAGAACTATCCTACGCATGGTTTTGAGCTTGCTGCAGTTGTTTTTATGTTGAATATTTGGAGGCATTATCTTTATGGTTCTATATTTGAAGTATTTAGTGACCATACGAGTTTAAAGTATTTATTTGATCAGAAGGAATTAAATATGAGACAATGAAGATGGTTGGATTTGTTAAAGGATTATGATTTTGGTTTGAATTATCATCTAAGAAAAGCGAATATGGTAGTTGATGCGTTAAGTCGAAAGACTTTACATATGTCATTAATGATGGTTAAAGAGTTGAATTAATTGAACGGTTCAGAGATATGAGCTTAGTTTGCAAAGTGACACTGCAGAGTGTTATGTTAGGGATGTTGGAGGTTAACAATGATTTTATGGACAATATCAAAGAAGCTCAAAAGTTAGATTTGAAATTGGTAGATTCGATGGTTGGATTCGATCAGTCTGAGAATGATGATTTCAAGTTAGATGCGCAGTGTGTGTTGAGATTCCGTAATCGAATTTTTATTCCTGATGATGTGGAGATGAAGAAAGTAAATCTTGAGCTGGAGGATACTTAACCTTCGTGTGAGGCTAAGTGAGTGTAATGTGGACCCTATAATATGTTGAGCGGTGGTGTCTCATTGATAAAATTGAATGAGAGGGAAATTGTGGGAGTATTTGTAAACCTCATTGAAAATTATTGGATTATGGTGCTTTAGGTGACTTGAGTACAAGTTCTAAAGGAACACTATTATAGTTTGGTAACGATGACTTATACTCCGTAATGGTTGTCGGCTATCTATTGACAAATTGAGGAACTGATCACCCTTAATCTCTTGTTGGTAGTAGACGAGATCGTGTTGGGTGGTATAGATTTGTCTTTCTATCTTAATGGTGTGTAAAGTGATTGATGTATATCGTGAGAATAATTGCTCACCAGTTTGTGTGAATTAATAG